GTTCCGACGTGCTCGTTCTTAAATAAGACTGCTACGATAATTGCAAAATAATTAACGTTCCGGTCTAAAACCTTAATAGGTTGCGACAAGTTATTCGCGGGTAACAAGAAATTTTCTTCAATTATATCATGGTATTAATTGTTCATCCGAGCGACGCTTCCCTGCGGACGATCGGCTGTCACCTCGTTCGCTAATATTTCACGTCAATTAATTTAACATTAAAAGTAATTTAACATTAAAATATTTAAATAGCGCCGGTCGACTAAAATCACGTAGGTACATCATCACGATATACAGGAAGAGTATGAATCTGACAAGAATTAATGAGAGAATTCTTCATAGCGAATATAAAATTGACTTCTCTTTAACAAAAATTTGACGGAAAGCTATTAATTGTCACTTTTCAAAATTTTTTGTCAAAAAAGTAATTACTGCTTAAGTCAAATTAATCAAAGTCAACTTCTAAAATTTAAATGAAACATTATATTAATATTCTTTCTTTTCAATCTCTCTTTAGAAGATATTAATTTTTTTCTCCGATATTTGAAAAAGTCACTCAATTTTCCTCTAATGTATAAAATTATGCATATTAATAAGAGAGAAATTAATAAAATTACATAAATTCTTCTTTGCAGAACAAATCTTGCTTAGCAAAAAATCAAATAATTAGCTAATTATTTTAAATACTGAATATGAATAAATCATATATATCAAATTATGTAGCGTATTTCAGTTTTATACGTATTAACTTTTAGAAAACATAAATTAAAAAATTCTAAGCCATAAAATATAGAATTGTCAGAAATATGTATATAAATACGTATTGTATTTTATAAAGATCTACAAGTCGTACTAAAATAAAAACAAACACATTTATGTTTCCGTACCAATATTACTCTTACGGATACAGCAAACAAATCAATAAATACATTCGCTTTCATAAAAATTTTTTCATATCGCCAATTTGATTATTGTAAATTATTGGGCATGTGTTAAAACGAATAAATCGTATACCTTGTCAAATTTTGTACTTTTTCTCTGATTCTTTCAAAACTTTTAAAAACTTCTTTCTTTATAATTAAAGATTATTTAAAAAGCAGAAATAAATTTTTTTTCTAAATGTATAAATAATTACAAGAAGCAAACATTAATGATGATACAATTATTCAAGTAATATTTTAATATTCATTAATTATTCAATATGCATTTGACGCAGAATGCATAACATTATGATATTAGGGTGAACAATCAGCATTTCAAATTTCTCAGAAGCGAAAGGATTACGCGATAATATCTTTCTCCATAATTTGTAACTATGAAGTTCAAAGAACAATAATCTCCCCATCCGACTTGAAATGTAATACGCTGAAACATATAATCTTGCGATAACTTATCAGTTATTAAAGTTATTTAATATGATAATGGAGAAAAGTCAATCCTTTTTCAGAACGAGTTCCGCAACAAAGTTTCTACTAAAAATCGATTTTGCAAACAGCAAAAAAATTATGTTTACAAATGAAACAGAGTAACTACTTTTTCATATAATTCCGCTAGATTTTAAAATCAAGTTGTCTTTTTTTGTAAACTGAGAGATAGCAAAAGACATTACGATGATATATCATGAACTGAAATGACATACATAAACATCATGGAAAATTTACTTCAATTTCAACGCATCATACTCTTTTCAATTTACTTTATATAAAAATATCCTAATTATTTATGGCAATTTTGTTCGCTACCGTGTATTATCATCGCGTTACTCCAAACGCGAATGCAACATGAAATGTACACGTCTGCACTATACATAACTTGAAGTCACTGCGCATATCCACAATAACGACCCTACTATGGTTTCGTTATCTGGTTCAATGATCGATTAGCTCTAATCTACTGCCATAGTGTCACAAGAAACCGTTTTGTTTCAAACGTGAATAAATATACGCGTGAGCAGTTACAATATCTCATATCGCGCTCGTAAATATTTCTCAAACGTATGCTATATTTACGGCGAAATATTAATTAGCCTTTGAATTTTCCATTGTGATTGCATGCGCCATTAATCGTTTCTTAAATTTCGCAAACGCAAAATTGCCTATTGTATCTACCGATCCCTGCGATTATTCCGTATATTTATTGTACGTATTTTTTTTCCTCTATAAAATCCTCCCAGTATTTGCACGTATTATATTTACCCTGCTGCACATTTTAATCGAATTCTACACGTATTGCATTTATACGTCTCGTGATAAATCACCTACGCCGAATCTTGTACATACAATACATACGTATGCAGTGCTATATTTATATTCACGCCTATATCGAATTTCATATTCATTATAATCACGTCGCGTAATTTCGGTGAATTTCGCTCGTCATGTCTACACCGTGCTACAAATTGTTCTCTCCTCTTCTCCCTTCGAGAATTTTGTAAATTTAATATCAATATGGTCCTATTAATCGACCATTGCACGCCGGGACATATCGCACTCACGAACCGGTTCATTAATTATCCGCGAAATATTTTGCACGTTTACCACGCACCATTACCCGAGAATTCGTCTCGCTCGAAAGACGAGAACGCCCCGTGTGTTCCAGGAGAACGCCAAATTTCATCTTGGCCTACACTGAATTAGAGCTCTAGGTATAGTGCACGCGGAGAGAGTGGAATCCTTTTGTCAGAGTCAAATGCTCACAACTTTCCTATTGGTTATTTTGACTGCTGTTTTTCAACTAATGGTCCATCATCCAATAAATAAGTAATAAGTAAGCTTAATAAATAAGTAAAATCAGTAATTCCTTAATCTTTTTAAGTAGGTAGATGCCTTTATATAGAAGAAGCAATATTGCTGCAACAGTTGCAATGAAATTGAAATAATATTGGAACGTTGCAATATTGCTACAATATTGCTGGAATACTCCATGCTATAGGTGGCTGTAGTACTCTACGTACAATTATCTTAAAAATCTTGATTTGGGAAAAGAAAGTAAAATGAGAATTGCCCAGAAATGTTAAAGTTCGTTACTTTTACATTTTTCTATCTTATCTCATAAAAGATATAAACATAATATAAATAGAGAGAGAGAGAGAGCTTTTTATAAAGCTATTACCTAAACTTTAAGTCATACACAAGCCGTAAAAAGTCAACCAATCGTGCAATTAAATAAGAAGATAATCGACCATGATTGGTTAATTCCTTAAGACTCAAACTTAGATAATAGCTTATTGTAGAAAGCCTATATAAGTCTATATATGTATATTACACTATTAAAAAACATAACTATAAAAACAAAATTTATTTGGGATGTTCTGAGCACGCCAGTTAAAGGTTAATATGATATGGTTATTAAGTGCTGCGCTTTGGTAGTAGAACTCTCATCTAAAGCTCTACGTTGAATGGCGACTAGATACTGCGTAGCGGATAATCTCGAGGACGCATTTCCCGCCAGGCAGCGTTTACATTCGTTTCGTACGTCGACGAGCGAGCGTCATCGTTACGCGTTCCGCACGCAGAGCGCACGTAGCGTGGAGAATCACCGCCATGCACACCGAACCTTTCTCGCCTCTTCCGACAGTTCCGACTTCAAAGCACACACAGGAGTTTTCCCACGAGTTTCCCTTTCCCGCGTATCTTTAGCGCGTGCGAGTTTGCGACACGAAGCTGCGACGTTCGCGGTGAGAGAGAGAGGCAAAGTTGCGAGTTGTACCCGTCATTTGCCTAAACGCGTTTGCTTTCCGCGGGAGGTAAAAGTCACAAGAGATCGGAAAGCTACATCTCCTGGTCTTCTTCCTTTTCTCTTTTATTCTGAATGTGTTAAATTGTTGTGACTATATTCGCTTCGATATTAGCTACGTTTAGTAAAAAAAAAAAAAAAGTAACTTTGCAAATTATTGTAAGATTCTTTAACATATGATTGGTTAATAGGTTTACCTCCGATAAAAAGAATTAATGACATGATATTGATATGTAAGTCTTACATCCGACGAAGTAGGACACAAGATTGTTATGTAACGCAAGATATTTCGTACACTTTTATTATTTTTACAAATACATAATCTAATTAAGTCGGAAGGAAAGAAAATAAGCACACTATCAAATTCATCAATTCTCTCGATCATATTTCACACTTTTAATACCAGAATATTCATAATCTAGAGTCTAGACTTTTATAGATATAACCCAGTTATAAATTCAAAAAAAAAAATAAGCAACACTATCAAATTCAATCCCATTAATCCCACTAAAAGCATAGCTTAGTGTTCAACGACCTCGCTGCAATTTTGGGCTTTTTATTTAGTTACTTTTTTTTAATTCATCGATTGATCAATCGCGTTATACGCAAATGCAGCTCTCATAAAACGAAATTACCTTTACGCACAATGCGAATTGATCGATGAATTAAAGAACTCGCTCACTGCTGGGAATGATCTATGCTGTAAAGGATCTTACAATTGCAAAGCTACTTTTTCTGCTGTACACAGCCATCGGCCGCGTTCAGCAGAATTTTAAACACGTTTATTTTGTAACTGTTGAAAGTATCTTCTTTGCTGAGAGAGACAAGACTATTCTTCTACATTTGAAAGTATAATAATCCAATGAGCACGAGAAAAACTTGCAGTTGCAAAATAAATGGTGTAGCGAACGCTGCCACTGTATATTAGGCGGTTGACAGCGCGATATTGAACCGCGATCGTCGAGGTTGCGCGTTTTATTGGCGCGCCGGATTCGAAACGAATCCCCGTACGTTGCGCCGGAAAAGCGCGCAATATACGACCGGATATAAAGCCACGGTAAAATCTCATTATAACGAATCCCATCTGGAATCGAGTTGATCGTATCGCGGTACTTATTCGCGGGGTATCACAGACGCGTCCGATACCCCTGCTGGGGTAATGGCTGGCAATGGCCAATCGCGACGCGACGCCTTCGAAAAATTACGATATACTCGTCATAACGGGATTTCACCGTGCGATTATGTAACTTATGCCACACGCGCACCTTCAACAATCGATGAACACAGCACGGCGATGACACAGGCCCAGAAGGTGATGGTGGACGTCATTCTGATGCGGCTGCTGCTCGTAGCTCTCGTGCACATCACAGACAAAAGAAGACACTGTCGCGAACCAAATTCCTCGGCAAACTTCAGGTTGTTTCGCAACCGCGGTGCGGCGATGGAACACAAAAAACTCCGTCGAATCGCCGAGAGTCGGTAACACGGGCGCGCGAGATTTAGCTTTAACAACGCGTGCGCGAGTCGCGGGGACGCGCGATGCGTAATCGAAAGTCGATCCGAATCTTCGGAGCCTGCCGTAGTCGTTCCTCGCGTCCGCGGAATGTCGACTGGCTACAACGACAGAGGCGTGTGACCGTGAGAACGACCGGTGAGCTCGACGCGCGAAGACCGTCTGCCGCGCGCTTTACTTTTGGAGCGCTTGCGCTTCGTGAGACATCGGCAGCCAGCCCGAGTTCGCCCGACCGCTCGGCGAATCCCACTCCCCTACCGCTCCGCTCCGCCGCAACCTGCCGTTACACTGTATACTCTACCACACTATGCGTACCTACTTTCGTTCATAATCTTACGTTACGCACACAAAGGCGCTCAACAACACGACCAACGGACGACGCACGACTGTCCCATGTATTTATTTTCATGCGCGCGCGTGTCAATCATTACCCTCAAATCAACGATACGTACATCTCCACGAATGTTATTCTTCCATTCTGGTTCTTTCGCTCCAATTTGCTAACTAAAGTTCGCGTGCGCTGAAAGAAAGTAACGGTTGCGATTCCTATAATTTAGCCATAATTTATATAGTTATTTTCGTTATTAAATATATACAGGGTGTCTCAAAACTGACGATAAATATTTTATTAAAGACAGATTCTTTGTAACATTTTCAGATGAAAAATCTAATATGAAAATGCCGAGGCTGTAATAGTTTTTATTCACATTCAGCAAAATCATTCTTTCTGTATAAAACTATTAACATTATTATAGCAGTACAAAGTATATAAAAATGAAGCTTTTAACCATATAATTATTTTACACTACAATTTTAGAAATATCAAACGCTTTTCTTTCAGCGAAAAATTCATACGATGCGCAACGGCAACTTCACACGGCACATTCGTGGAAATTATCGCGATGATACGACTCCGAGAACCAATTGTTGTCGAATTCACTTGCGTCTGTAGTTTAATCGATACTTATAGTACTCGCACGAAATTTCCGAAGCGAAATCGCATCTCAAAGCTATCGAACGACGCGAAATATAACGTATTTTGAAATATCCCATGTTCCAACAGACGCGCGACGCTGTGACGCGGTTTCTAATATACGAGCGACTACGTTTGTTCGGCAGTTACGATGAGATATTGATCACGATCATATGGGTTAATTAACACTCTCCGGCGATTATCCGTCGTTCGATTCGACACTCCCGACCATTATTTTCACGCTTACTTTGCTCCGAACGGGAAAAATACGAGGAAAATACAGAAGGAACGATGCTCGCCGGTTTGCGTGTTACTTCGAGACGCGAAACACTATGAACTTAGCGCAAAGTGACTACCAATCAAAATGAAGATAGCGCCGTGTGTGATATAGAGGCCGGTATTTATAGTGGATTCTTGTATTTGAGGCTGCCTTAAATACAGTCATAAACCAATCAAAGCGCTGTATTAGCATCTTAAAACGATCTTAAGTAATGTCTTAATACAGCTATTGTACCTACTGGTGTTTATAGTCAGATTTTATATTTAAGACATTATTTAAGTATCTTAAGATTATTTACAACAGTCTTAAAATTGTCTTGAAATGAGAACGGACTATAAATATACCACAGTATGACTAGTTTGTGACATCATAAGTCTGTACTTAAGATAATTTGGAATATATGAACCGACTGTGACTGCGTTTTGTTATTCATTGTACTATAGATTTTCAATACTCGCAGTAAATAACGAAACATAACTTACTAATACCAGTCAAAGTCTCATTGTAAATGCTTTGAACGATTTGATTAACAAAATTTGATTAAATCATTTTACATATTTTCAGTGCTAAATAATTTAATTCTTTTAAAATTATAACATTATCATGTTATTTATGTTGTATTATGAGATTATCGCACAACAAAAAATATATGTAATTAAAAAAGGGTTAGATCATTATTAACACTAAAAATTTATGAATTAATTTATAAAAAGTATCATTCTAAAGGTAGAACTGTGTCGACTGTGTGTCCTAAAAGCTTAATTAATTCTCTGACGTTAACTCTCTTATCTATCGCTCGATTTGATATTCTCGACTATCATTTTCGTGCGGACTCTGCTTTGAATGGGAAAAGCACGGAGAATATACAGAATGAATAATAGCGCTATTTCAAGTAAAACACTACGAATTAAGGGCAAAATGACTTGGCGAATCAAAATGAAAATGGTATCTTATGATGAGACATTTAGAGAAGATATTAAATTATAAATAAACTTGCCCATACGTGTATAGGTTCTAATTCGGTTGCATTTCGTATTTGATGGATATCTTGAGATAGCGAAATTTTTATACAATATTAATACAAACTGAATTTATATCTACATATGCCAAGTATTTATTGATACAAAGATGAGACTATTTGCACGTGTACAGATTTACTATTCTTGGTGGAATGACAAAACGGAATTCTATATGAATACTCGTAGTTAACGCTCTGTGAGCGCACACATGTATTTTGGGTCAATTATTTATTTCCACACGCACATCCGTTAATCATAATCGCTCACGCTATACTTATATACTTTTTGCTCGCTATGAATTCGCGCTTAATCTAACCTTGCATTGGACTTAATTCAATTTTACGTATTATATTTAAACATATACCATAAGTCTTCTTTTTTTTACATTTTTTATGATAGCTGAATAATTATCTACTACTACAGTATTGTTTAGTAAATTTTAAATTTTGTTGACCGTATATTTAAAACAAACCAAAGTAGTGAAATGACAATTCGATCAATGTATAATAATGTATTTTAAGAAATTTAAAATTTCAGTCGATATAATTTATAACGCAAAGCGACTATATCTGTCCAATGATTATGAAAGGTATTAATTGCGATTACACAGGTTCATTAACACTCTCCTGTGATTATCTGTCATTTGATTTGATATTTTTGACCATCATTTTCATGCAGACTGTTTTGAACGGAAATAGCACGGAGAAAATCCGAAGCGAAAATACACGTCACTATTTCGAGCGAAATATCATCAAATTAAGCTCAAAATGAAGATGTGTACAATGATTTCACTCATAATGATTTAAATTTCCGCGACGCGAGAAAAGATTCTAAATCACATAAATTATGCATGCGTACTTATACGTCTTTAATTTGATTGAGTTTTGTGATTTCTTTGAACGGGAAAAGCACGGAGAAAATCCGAAACGAAAATACACGGCGCTATTTCGAGTGAAATATCACGAATTAAGTTCAAAACAAAGATAGTGATTTTACTCACAATGATTTAGATTTCCGTATCTTGAAAAGATATTCTAAATTACGAAAATTATGCGTACGTGGGTATACGTCTTTTAATTTAATAATACTTTGTATTGCTTAGAGGCCTTAGAGTTAACTCAAGTAAACTAAAGCAATAAAATAAAAATTTAATCAACATGAAATGATATATACTTAAGAAATGTATAGTGTTTTAATCGATGCATTTTCTAACGCGAAGCGTTATTATTTTTAAGCTCTCCGATGATTACAATGAAATATATTAATCGTGATTATATGTACGCATTAATTACTTCTCCAACAAATGCCGATTTATTTGATTCGACACTTCCAACCATCGCTTTTACGCAGACTTTACTTTGAAAAGCATAGGAAAAGCACAGAGCAAATACGGAGCGAATTGCGGTGTTACTTTGAACTAACGCAAAGCACCACAAACTAAAACGCTAAGTAATTACGCGAATCAAAACAGAGATAGTATTTTACGATGATTTATGGTAAATTCAATTACTCGCACTACACTAGATTAGTACACACTTTAAACGATGATTTATATAAAATATCTAAATGTAGAGACACAAAATAAGTACATACATTAATAATGAAATAGTACACAATATGTATTCTATGTTAATAATGTTATTACATTAATAGTACTATATTTTTGGATTTAATTCATTGTTTACAATATTTATACATTTTCACTAATTTAATTTTGCTAATTTTATATATTACAAAAAGAATGATTTTGTTGATCGAAAAATTTAGCTAGATTCAGATCTAAAAATAATTTTGTTAGCATTTAAGAATCTACATTCGTATAGTATATAAATTCACGAAAATACGTAGTAGGTATATAAAAACACGAAATTATATATTAGATGCATCCAAGATCCAGCTTGACCATTACGGCATGTTCTCAACGGTGTATTAATTAAATTTATTAGATTCAAAATAATTATATAACTAAAGTTTGTTGCTGGAAAATATCAGAAATTTTCACAGCGTTCCTTCTTTGAGTTTCCTACATAATTATGTCGATGGTCCAACAAAATTATTTTTAGATCTTTATCTACAATATTTAAATTTCAACAAAATCGTTCTTTCCACTTTTATAAGAGTCTGATATTGATCAATATTGAAAAAAAGATAGTAATTAATTATTGATTTTAAATATTAAAAGCACTGGTCAGTGTACCTTTAAAACTTCAAATAAGTAATTAATTACTGTCTTTCAGTAATAAATTAGACAGTATTAGATTTCTATAAAAATGTGTAGCAACTTTGAACATGCATCAATCTAGTATAATGCAAGGAACTTGTTATTAGATTTCTGTAACGTAAAAGAAGATTCTAAATTACTTAATTGTACGTGCGTGCAGACGTCTCTAACTTAATTGCGTTTCATGTTGCTTAGTTAACTTTATTGATCACAACTTGCGTAAATCAAAATGATGTTCAAATTAAATCCTATTGATGTAGACTAGTGTAAGAATCATAGTAATATTATATTAGCCAATC